GTTGTAAATTGTGTTTGGTTATCAAATGGTTATCTCCTCCCTTTTCATTTGAGCATGTCATTTGCATTGTATCTGAGACATTGTTGTGGTAAGAGGATGGTGTACTATTTTCGAGGGTCGTATCGCGCGCCGCGACGTATATTATATTTCGAGGGACGTATCGCGCGCCACGAAGGTTACTACTTATCGAGGGTCGTGTCGTGCGCCGCGACAGATGCATGGACAGATATGTCCCCCATGGGTCCCGGACTGAGAGACAGCGGGTGTGTATCGTTAGGGAAGACATGCATCACTATATTTGACATTGCATCTCATGGCATTGTGACTGTTGAATATTGAGTTGTTATTGAGAATGTGTAAACTGATAGAGTGTGGTTATTGAGTTGTGTGTTTGGTAAACTGTAACCTATTAGACTGTATCGTGGAGGTTTAGATATGGTGTAAGGAGTGCCCGTATTTTGTTCACTTAACTTGTGTTTAGAGGTTTGCTTGTTGGGTACCGCGTGGTTTGGTACTCACCCCTTGCTTCTACAAATTTTTGTAGGATACGAGCCTGGATCATCGTGATACTTGTCATTCTTTTCGTTTCCGAGGCATCTTGTGGAGGATTGTGAGGTAGCTGCTTGTCATCTCAGCGAACTTTCCTACTCCAGTTTATGACTTTGTTTTTACTTGAAAGACAACTTCATTTAGACTTCTATTTTATTTCAATTCTAATATTTACATTAGAGACTTGTGCACGTGACAACCTGATTTTGGGGATTGGATTAATATAACTTGGTTTCATAATAGGAATTGTTGTTGGATTGTCATTTACTTCCGCACTTTGTTAGATATTTGGTTTTAGGCTGACTTGTCTTGGTGGGATAAGACGAGTGCCATCACACCCATTTTTGGGTCGTGACAATTAATATTTAGATGTTTATTCAGATTTACACATCTAAATCTTAATGCACATCTTAATATTTAAATGCGTATTCAAATTCAGACGTCTTAATCTTAATAGAAAAAAATGAGACATTAATGTCACTACTTGTTAATCAAATTCACAAATAAAATTATATTTATAATATTTAGGAAAAATGCACAAGTACCCCCTAGACTATGACCAAAATCCCGAAAACACACCTTACTAAGGTCGTATTACCCCCTTAAACTTATTTTTTTAAAATTTTGTGTATCTCTTTGGCTTACGCCAAATATCTCCGACGCGCCTCAATTGCGTGGAGTCACATAGAGTGCTACATAAGACAAAAAGTGTATAAAATTATAAAAGAAAAAAAGTTCAGGGGTAATAGGAACTTAGTTTAGTTAAGGTGTGTCTCTGAGATTTTGGTCATAATCTAGGGGTACTTGTGCATTTTCTTTGATATTTATTAATTTTTTTCAACTAAAAGTATAAATATCTAAATAGAAATATTAACCTAATTGTTTTGATTTTGGAGTCTCTCTATTTTTAAATTTTAATATTATATTATATTTTTTAATTAATTTTTATTGGCCCACGGGTCGACCCTACCGATATTTCTCAAGCCCCCCAAATGAGCAGACTTATTCAGGCCGTGCTAAAAAACCCTTTTCCTAAATGGGCTACAAATATCTTAGCCCAGTCCTATTAAATCCCGGGTTAGGCTAGGTTGGCCCAACGGGCCTAGCCCATATTGACGGCTCTACTCTTGTCCAATGATAATTGCTCACTATTGACTTGACACACCCCTTAAAACTCTAAATAGAAGGATGATTTTACTATACACCCTTTGAATATAATAAATACAAATATACAATGTCTTTAAAAAAATGACTATACTTTATCCATGAATTTCATAAAGAGGACAATATTCTTGAACATATATTTTTAATATAATGGATAAATATTATTAGACGGAGCTCATATTTGATAATATTACGTCTTATATAGTTATTTGGTGTGGAACTCTCCTTTTTTTTTAATGAGTTTATTTGCAACAGACTTGATTTTAGATTACTTGTCAAACATCAAAAGGAAATTAAATGACTCACTTTCCAAATTAATCTTGTAAAAGAGATTGTGTTACCTTTTTTTTTTTGGTAAACAAAGATTGTGTTCCCTTAATATTTTAAAAATTTCTTTAATTAGCTACACTAATTAAGGAAAATACATAAAATATATTTGAACCTGTCAGATCCGAATTTAATATTTTACTATTTTTTCATCAACCAAAAGACTTTGTTTGCCTATAAATACATTGTTAAGAGTGACAAATATATAAAATCAATAAAAACAATTACATATACTTAATTACTCATTGTGCTATCACAAAACCTGAAAGAGAAAATGGAGAAGGCAACATTTCTTAAGATTTTTTTGGTCTCTTTTTTGCTTATTTTGTTGGGTAAGCAATCTTTTTTAATCTAGCAACTTTTACTCTAGACAAGTTTATAACAATTTATGTGTCCTTTTTATAATATGAAAATGATATTAAGTTATATGACTTTCTTTATATGTTATCGCATATGAAATGTTGATTATTTTTTATGAAAAAATTTGTATATGTTTACTGACTTGTTTGAACGATATTAATGTTGGTAGGACAAGGAAGCGATGCGTTTGGATGCATGAAGGATTCTGATTGTTCACATACGAAATGCATAGATAAACATCCCGTATGTGATTTGACACATCATATATGCACCTGTCAAGCTCCACCATCTAGTTATGGAAGAAAAATCATTCACGAGATTCACCAAAATTGATTTATTATGTTTTTTGTAATTCATATGCAAAAATGAACCATGATTGATGTATTTCCTTTTCATATTTATATGCGGTTCAATAATCAATAAAGATCCATTATTTGCATATTGATGATGTTGGAAATGGTTTGGTTGAGGTCGAGTTTTTAGTGTCTCCGTTAAGGACTTTGAATCGAGATTTATGGGTGACATCATTGTTGAAAGTGAAAAAAAAACACTACTGGAATTGATATAGAGCAAAAGAGAAAGTGTAGAAGAATTTCTTTCTCATTTTTTTGTTTTTAGTAGATCAATTGTTGATTTTACTTCTGACTTTTTATTGTTTATCTTTTTTCCATACATATAGTTTCAGTTTTTTTAATGTATCTAGTTGTGTTTATTTTTTAGATTAATGTATATTAGCTTTGTTTCAACATTATGGTACATTAAAATTTTATCAAGAGTTGGTGGTGGTTTCAGTAAGGATTTTGGATCGAGATCCATGGATGACATCACTGTTGAGAGTGAAAAAAATCTACAATAGTTGATATAGAGCAAAGGACAAAGTGTGGATGGATTTCTTCGCCATTATCAATATTGTTTTAGCAGATCACATTGTTGATTTTTTTGTTGCTATCAACAAATCTTTCAATATATCTAGTTGATTTTGATTCTTAAATTAATGTATAATTCGTTCGTTTCACCTTTATGATACATTATAATTTTATCATGTACAATATATCGTTTTCAAATATTAGTTTTGATACATGATAATATATTATGTTCATGGTTATGTATTAGATACACAACTTTTACAAATTTTATTATCTTTTACTACTAGATACATACAACTAGCCTTATTCAACTAGAAGGTTATGTACTTGTAAATGCTATCAAATATTATTGTTTATATATAAACACTAATGTTTTATAACAAAATCAGTTTGTATCATATTCATAACTAATATATGACACATAACTTTGTTGTGCATATAACATAATGTATCACATGTTGTTCAATATCTGCAATACTGTTTTATAGCCAAATTAGTGTATATCATATTCATAGTTTTTTTGGTATGATACATAACTATATGTAGTTGACGAATTTTTGTTGAATCTGTTATGATCTTTTTCTTTAGAATTTCTTAATAGAAAGAGGAAATCCGCTGTTCGGAGGGAAAGATTTGAGAGAAGAAAAAAATTAAATTGTTTGAAGCTGTTATAATTTGAGAAAGATTCACATCAGTTTGATTTGCATGATTTGGGAAACTAACATTTCATTTTATATCTAATTTCTTTTTTTAATATCAAAAAAATAATTGTAAAATGTATCAAATGTGACGTATTCAGATGTCAGCAATTTTAAAGAATTTTATAAATTGCAAAAATATAGATATCGAATGTAATTTGTTCTTTATCCCATGAGATTCCTAAAATTTATACATTATTTTTTATGAATTTATTCACACCCACTATGTTTATGGGTTTTAGAGAATCTCAAATAATTTGAAGAACTCCTAAATGGACATGAGGGAAGTTTCGATTTGATTTTAATAAAATTGAAAACTAGATTAACTTGAATTGATGAATATATTTTTATATTTTGTTTGACTTTTTTTTAGAAGTTTTCTCAAGGAGACGGTATTACAAAACTATAAGTGAGGGTACATTCTTATTCTCTAACTTTTCAAAAATTGGTTTGACTTTGATATTTACTATTATAAAAATAAATTCAAATAACATTATGAAAATCATTGTACTTTAAAAAAATGTATATACTTTGTCCCTAGGATTTCATAAACAGAACAATATTGTTGGACATATATATATATATATATATATATATATATATATATATATATATATATATATATATATGGACAAATATTATCAAAACGGAGCACGTATTTGATAATATTATGTCTTATATGGTTATTTGGTGTGAAACTCTCCCTTTTTTTATGAGTTTTTTTGCTACGGACTTTGATTTTAGATTACCTATCAAACATCAAAAGGAAATTAAATAACTCACTTTCCTAATTAATTCTGTAAAAAAAGATTGTGTTACCTTCTTTTTTTTTTTTGGGAAACAAAGATTGTGTTACCTTAATATTTTGATACAATTTCTTTAATTAGTTAACTTAATTATGGAAAATACATAAAATATATTTGAATCTGTCAGATTCGAATTTAATATTTTACTATTTTTTCATCAATCAAAAGACTTTGTTTGCCTATAAATACATTGTTAAGAGTGACAAATATATAACATCAATAACAATTACATATAGTTAATTACTCATTGTGCTATCACAAAACCTGAAATGGAGAAGGCAACGTTTCTTAAGATTTTTTTGGTCTCTTTTTTGCTTATTTTGTTGGGTAAGCAATCTTTTTTAATCTAGCAACTTTTACTCTAGACAAGTTTATAACAATTTATGTGTCCTTTTTAATTTATGAAAATGATATTAAGTTATAAGACTTTCTTTATGTGTTAAGCACATATCAAATGTTGATTATTTCTTATGAAAAAATTTGTGTACATTTACTGACTTTTTGAACGATATCAATGTTGATAGGACAAGGAAGCGATGCGTTTGGATGCATGAAGGATTCTGATTGTTCACATACAAAATGCATAGATAAACATCCCGTATGTGATTTGACACATCATATATGCACCTGTCAAGCTCCACCATCTAGTTATGGAAGAAAAATCATTCACAACATTCACCAAAATTGATTTATTATGTTTTTTGTAATTTATATGCAAAAATGAACCATGATTTATGTATTTCCTATTCATAGTAATATATGGTTCAATAATCAATAAAAGATCCATTATTTGCATATTGATGATGTTGGAAAATGGTTTGGTTTAATTTGCTCCTTTTGATTTGATGACATATACTTGTATATACGCGATGTATTTTATTGTTGATAAGTTTCTTCGAACCACTAACATTTAAGGATTTTACAGAATCTCATATAATTTGAGCAACTCATAAATGGACTTTAAAGAGGAATTCGGAGCTTAAAGGGTGAAAAATGTTAATAAAAATTTCACAATGGTACATGAATTTTTTTAAAAATAAAAACGGCAAAATCGCTCACGAAGTAGCGATTTTGTCCGTCGGAAAAAGCAAAATCACTGCTATAGTGTAAAATTTCATTTTAAAAAAAAAATAAAACAAATCGCTGCCTTCAAAATTAATTTTTTTAATTATTTTTTAATAAATCGCTTCAAAGGTAGCAATTTAACGTTAATTTTTTTTAAATATTTTTTTGCTTTTTTTTAAAAAAATTAAATCGCTGCCAAGGCTGCGATTTTGAATTAAATTCATATTTTTAATTCAAGGCAGCGATTTGATTATATTTTTAAAAAAAGAAAAGCAAAAAAAATAATTAAATTTTTTTTTAAATCAAATCGCTGCAAAGGCAACAATTTTAAGCATCATATCTGTGTTGTAAAAAAAAATCATATTTTTAATTCAAAATCGTTGCCATTTGTTTGTAATTTTTTTTAAAAAGCAAAAAATAATAATAAAAAATTTTACGTAAAATTTTTGCCTTTGCAGCGATTTATTAAAAAAATAATTAAAAAATTAATTTTGAAAAACGAAGCCTTGGCAGGGATTTGTTTAAAAAAAAATTTAAAAAAAAACAAAAATTTTACAAACAACTGCTTAGCAGGATTTTGCTTTTTCTAGCGGACAAAATCGCTACTTCGTGAGCGATTTTGCCGTTTTGATTTTTTAAAAAAATTCATATACCGTTTTGAATTTTTTATTAACAGTTTTTGCCCTTTAGGCTCCGCACTCCTTTAAAGAGAGATTATTTATATTTAGTTTACTCGTTTTGACTTGATGTCCAATATATATTTTTTTCTTTTCTATGTCAAAAATTACTCCATGATATCATCAATTATCTCCATCACTTTATTTTTGAGTTTTAATTTTTTATTTTCGATTTATCGATTGCAAGTTATTGAAGAAGTAGTTCTTCTTCATCCAATTTTTCTTTTCACTAGATAATGTATCAATTTCTATTTTTTAAAGGTTTTTCATGTATAAATTTAGCCGAAAAAAGATGCATTTTCAACTTCAAAATCAATTTGTGGAAAAAATGCCCAAGGGGGGGGGGGGGGGGAAGGGGAGGGAGGTTGAGTTGTCGGTCTCTCCGTTAAGGGCTTAGAGTCGAGATTCATGGGTGACGTCATTGTTGAAAGTGAAAAAAAATATGAAAATTAACATAAAGCAAAAGAGAAAGTGTAGAAGAATTTCTTTTATCACTTATTTATGGAAAAAGGGTCTGATATACCCCTCAACTTTGTCATTTAGAGCTGATATACCCCTCGTTATAAAAGTGGCTTATATATACCCCTACTTGTAAATAAATGGCACACATATACCCTTTTCCTCTAACGAAAATGAAAAAAAAATAATTTTAATCTAAATTTTTATTATTTTTTTCTAAAAAATATAATCCCATATGAGTAAATTTAATCCTTGTCAAACATATTTTTTTGACTTTTTTTTGTTTTAATGACTAATTTATAATTATTATTTTGATAATCAAATTTATTTATGTTTCACTAATATTCTTGTAAAACTTATTATAGGTGACCAAATTTTTTGTTCGAATACGAAATTAAATTACAATACACACACAAAAAATAGTTTAAATTTTTTTCTTTAAACGAAGGAATGAAAGAAAAAATAAAATAAGAATAAGAAACTCAAATAATTATAATAAAAGAAGTCAAAAAATAATTTATTTATGAAAAAAATAAAATATACCTTGAACTTTGATAAAAGAATCATATATACCCCTAAATAATTTTTTTTAAAATATTAGAAGTAACAAATATATATTTAAAACTAATTTTTTAATTTCCGTTAAGTAAAGGGTATATGTGAGCCATTTTGTAACGACGGGGTATATGTGAGCCGTTTGTATAACGGTAAGGGCATATATGTGTCACTTTTATAACGAGGGGTATATCAGCTCTAAATGACAAAGTTGAGGGGTATATCAGAACCTTTTCCCTTTATTTATTTTAAGCATATCAGATCGTTGATATTTTTCCTGTCTTTTTACTGTTTATCTTTTTTGATGCATTTAGTTTTAGTTTTTTAATGTATTTAGTTGTATTTGTTTCTTAAATCAATGTTTTATTTCAATATATGATTCATTAAAATTTTATCAATAGTTGGTGGTGGCCTCGGTAAGGATTTTGGGTCGAAATCCATGGATGACACCATGGTTGAGAGTGAAAAAAACCTTTATAATTGATGTAGAGCAAAGGACAATGTGCGGATGAATTTCTTCGTCATTATTTATTTTCTTTTAGAAGATCAAATTGTTGGGTTTTTTTGGTCGCTTTCAGCAGAACTTTAAATGTATCTAGTTTATTTTGATTTTTAAAATTAATGTATAATTCGTTTCTCTCACCTTAATGATACATTACAATTTTATCATGTACAATATATCATTTTGAAATATTAATTTTGATACATAACAATATATTATGTTCATAGTTATGTATTAGATACACAACTTTTACAAATTTTGTTATCTTTTACTATCAAATACATACACGTAACCATATTCAACTAGAAGGCTATGTATTTGTAGACGCTATCCAATATTATTGTTTATACATAAACACTTATGTTTTATAACAAAATCAGTTTGTATCATATTCATAACTAGTACATGACACATAACTTTGTTGTGTATATAACATAATGTATCACATATTGTTCAATATATTCAAGGAAAAATTATATAAATTAATACATTTTTAAAAATAATTACTGATTTTAGCGATACTTTTTATTTATTATCATTTATAGCAATATTGTGATAAATCTGTAATATGTATTAAAAGTGACATATGTATGCAATATATTTGAATTATAATTGTTTTTTAAATATATTGTGTTTGTTTGGTAAAAAATTGTCACATTGTATTATAAGTGTATTAAAATGTGTGATAAATGTATTATCCATCATTAAAACTTGTATTATGTTTGAATAATAAGTTTATCTTTGTAATATGTATTAAACTTGTATTATAAATGAATTAAAAGGGGTCAAGTGAAAAAAAAAATGTTATTGCTATAAATGGTAAATATTTTTTTATCATAGTATATTTACGTAAGTTTCCCTATCTTCAACACTGTTTTATAACCAAATTAGTGTGTATCATATTCATAGTTTTTTTTATATGATACATAACTATATATAATTGACGACTTTTTTTTTTTAACCTGTTACGATTCAGGAGAGATCTGAAGAAAGAAAATGTAAATTGTTTGAAGCTGTTATAATGAAAGATTCACATCAATTTGATTTGCATGATTTGGGAAATGATGTTTCATTTTATATCTAATTTCCTTTTTAATCTAAAAAAAAAAACTAGTTATATAATGTATCAAATGTGATGTATCCGGGTGTTAACAATTTTAAGGAATTTTATAAATTAAAAATAATAATTAGATATCGAATATAATTCGTTCTTTATACTATGTGATTCCTAAAATTTATACTTTATTTTTTATGAATTTTTTCAAGCCCATTATATTTATGGGTTTTAGAGAATCTCAAATAATTTGAGGAACTTCTAAATGGACCTGAGGGAAGTTTTGATATGATTTTAGTAAAATTGAAAAATAGATTAACTTGAATTAATGAATACATTTTTATATTTGATTTGACGTTGATATTTACTATTATAAAAAATAAATCCAAACCGAATTATGAAATCATTGTACTTTAAGTTGAATTTCTAATATACTTAATAATTGAAACTATTAAATGAATATTATTTATTAAATCGAGCCAACTGAGCCGATACTGGATTAAGATAGGTGGAGCAGAGATTTAACTTAAATCGAATCAAGTCAAGCGGATTATGTTTTTCAAAACAAGTTGATCCGGTTCTTCACCCATCTCTAGAGCTATGCTAATTAAGTATTATGTCGAGCAATGTCACTTTCCTATATTTATTCTTAATTTTGTTTTTGTCTTTTAATGTAGGGTGACATGTAGGAAAAATATGTCTATTTGCTCAATTTTATATAAGTTTAAGTGTCTAGTTATACACACTCAAAATTAAGAATTAAAAAAAATACTTAACACAAAATGGAACCAAGGACGAGCCTTGCTAGCGAAAATGCGGAAAGTCAAGTATCACACCGATGCACCACATCAACTTCTGTGATTAGGTGTGCACAAGTAAATATTTTAATTTCATTTAGGTATATACATGTATAATATATACGTCAATTTTTCTGAAGTTAACAGGTGTATGTGCACTCACTTCATCAAAGGTGGGTCTGCCTCTTGGAATAGTCCCTCATGTTTTTAGTTCACTTTTGGTCCTCCCGCAAACTTTTGCCTATTTTTCAACATGGATTTCGATAACAATTTATGTATGAAATGTTCAATCGTCTTTTCATATACTTTGTAAAAATAATAACTCCATGTGAGAGAAGGTGAAAAGATGAACACCTTATTTTGTTTGGTAAAAATATTATTGCATCTAAAATCGAGAGGTCATCACGTCGTTTGCACGTGTAATAGTATACTTTTTTCTTTTCTTACAACATCATATGTCAAAGTGTTCTTATCTGCAATAGTATTTATACCGAACAAAACAATATGCTCTTCTTCACACCTTCTATCACATTGCTTTATTTTTTCTATCAAATATATAAAAAGACGATTGAACATCCCATACACAAAATTATGAATAAAATTAACATTAAAAAATAGACAAAATTTGCAGGAAGATCAAAAGTGCATCAATATTGCAAACATGAA